TTTTTTTTTGTGAATTTGGAACCTATGGGAAAGGTTTATAACTTTGATTTTGCTAATAGCCAGGGATTCAGCGGGGTTAATCGTTTTCAAAAAGCGGATGACATTAAGAACAGCTTGGTCGCTACTGCATTAAGTTATGTTGATTTTTATAGACCAGAATTCTTTTTATTGGAGAATGTAAGAGGAATGTTATCCTTTCGTTTAGGAGGGAAACAAGATGGCCTAAAGATCATAGGGGGGATTAAAATGGGTGTTATAAAGTTCATAATAAGATCCTTGACTGCAATGGGGTAAGTTGAAAAATTCATCTTTAAATATATTATACAAATGGTTAACTTCTATCTATTTATAATAAATAGATATCAGACAAGGTTTGGTATTCAACAGGCTGGTCATCATGGGGTCCCTCAAAGTCGTAGACGGTTATTTGTATGGGGAACAAAGCATGGCTCGTATCTTCCTGATTTTCCTCAACCATCTACGTGCTTTTCGAAGCATGGTTCAATCAATATCAGCCTAACTGATGGTACATCATTTACATATAATAATCGTAAAAACGGATATGCGCCATATCCGGCTGTTTCTGTTAGAGAAGCGATTAACGATCTACCAGAATTCGAATTTGTGAATCCTCATCAAGTTTATCCCGCCGAAAAAGAAGATAGAGAGCTCAAACGACCTTTTAAACAAATAGTAGTACCTGAAAGGGGTTGGGTCGGAGAAATGGAGTCCGAATATGGATCCGAACCACTTTCTGAATACCAACGACAGTCTCGTAAAGATTGTACGCGTGTCTACAATCAAATTTGTAGGGTATTTAATAAGTTAACAATTGAACGTATCGTTCGTATAACAATGTTTCCCGGCGCTGATCATTCAAGTAAGTACAGCAGTACCCATTTTTTATATTTAAATTTTTTTTTTGTTTCCTTCCTTATCGAGCCTTTGATATTAATAAAAGGCTTTGAAATATTCATAGGTTTACCCGAAAAATTAAAACCATGGTGTTTAAGTGATCCTAATTCGGCAGCTAGTCGACATAATGGATGGAAGGGTTTATTTGGGCGTCTTGATTTTGAAGGTCATTTTGTTACAGCCTTAACTGATATAAATCCAATGGGAAAAACGGGGGTAGGTTAAGTTATTTCATAGTTCAATTGTAGAAAATTACGCGACAAAATTTCTCACCTTTTGTTCTTGACGATTATAACAGACTGTTGTCCATCCTAATCAGAGAAGATTACTTACGGTTAGAGAGTGTGCACGTGCTCAAGGTTTTCCGGATAAATTTAGGTTTTACAGTGATCGTGATGATACAAAAGATATGCACAGACAAATCGGGAATGCTGTTCCTCCTCCGTTGGCGTATGCGCTTGGACGGTTATTGGTGGAAGCTGTATTTAAAAAGTACAAGGAAAACAAAAATTCAAAAGGGAAGGAAAAAGCTACCGCTTAAATAATGCGGATTTGTGTTTAGTATTTGTATTAAAATCTCAATAGACTTAGAAAATGATAAAATTTGTAAAAAAATTAACTTTTTCGAAATTATAAAATTATAAGCATATTGCAAATTCCTAAATTTTTTTTTAAAAGCTGGCCAGCATTACAATTTACTTTCTTAATTATATCCGTCATATACGAACAAAATTAAGAATCAAACGTAGCACATTAAAAAATAGTGCATCGAAAATTTACGGATGTTTATATATAGTGTTTAGAGCAATTATATTAATTATATTATAAATTACAAAAATTGAATAAATATATATATACATATTTGTCTAGATATAAAATGTTAAAATGTTCTTATCTCAAGCGTCAAGACCTTGAAAGTAACATAATCTTATCTTTAATTCTCCGATGCCTGCATCAATAATTTGAGGCAATAAATCTTTATTTTTTTTCCTAAATCTGTTTCCATTTTTCTTTTCCAGCCAATTCTTATTTGATGAGTTTCCCCGGCTACTACGCCTGTTATTTTCACCATTATTTCTACCTCCGTCAGGTATCCCTCCACTAATTCCTGTAACAGTTCTTTCCGTTTTCTTTTCAACTCTGCCACATTCATTTGTTGAGATTTCACCTTCAGTTTCCATAGTTGTGCTTGTTAAGAATTCTCGAGGTACTCGAACAACTTTTGTAAAAGTTTTAGTAATTTCCCACATTCTATTTGGTTTATCTTGTTTTGAATAAGGGTCAACAAATATATGTACTTCACCCAACATTTTATCCTTACTTAAAGCATTCTTTTTATATAGTTGAAGTATTAAACCAGAATTGGAAGGATCCCTTGTATAAAAAACGTATTCTAATCCAATTTCAGTCGAGTTACCATCTGAAGAAGCAACAGCTTTAAATTTAGGCGTAATGATTCTCTTCTTTATTCTACCTTTTAGATCAGCAAAAATGATTTTAAAATATGCATTTCCAATAGATTTTTTTAGATTGGCATTCATTAAATTCACTCGAATTGAACCAACAAAATAACTTTTCTTCCAATAAATTATAGGATACCACCATTTTTTTTTTGGTTTATCTTGTACTAATTCTTTTATGGCAACCTTTTTAGCGGAAAATAATCTCATGAAATAATTCCCTTCTTCACCCATATTATAAGTGCTTGGTATGAGAACATATTTACCACGTTTCAATAAAATTCTTGCGGTAATCTCTCTAGAGTTAATATAAGCTACGCGTCCAGCCACTTCATAAGTAGGTTTATGAATACGATATTTTCTATTCTCTTCAATTTTTAATAGGATGAACCCGATGGTAAGATTCTCTTCATGAATAAAGGCACGATGATCTTGCTGCATCAATGCAACAACTAAAGTAGTTGGTTTATAAACTTTAATAAGATATTGTGGATTTTGATGAAAAGTATTTTGATTATTAATACAACCACCAGTTGTTAATTTATTTCTTGACCATTCCCCTCTAAATATTTTACCGTGCCATCTTTTTTCAAATGAAAATATTGAAGTATTTAAATGTCTACAAATAATCAACGTAGAAAAATTGGATATCCAATCCTCAAATGACATCCAAAAATCACCATCATCAGCGATCTTAAAATCCATATCCTTACGTTTGGTTTTACTTATTGATTGCCATTTATCGGATCTATCACTCCAATCCCCATTCCATTCAACTTCTCCCCATGGATTATGTAACCGAATTAAAACAAACTCATTTTGAGATTTTCTTCTCATTAACGGAGCTCTGACCCGTTGTATATCAGTTACGCCATATGCGTGACCTATGATTAATCCATTGGGTAAACGTTCCTCTTGTCTTTCACCTTCCAACGCATTAATACTACAACTCATCAAGGCACCTCTTTTTCTCGCGGTTTGTATCATCCTTATAAACTTTTTTAATCCCATCTGCCCAACAATATTCTTATTATTGACGGGACTAATCTGATTGGTAGGATGAATCTGATTCATAGGTACACTATCAATATCCGAAAAAGTTGAATCATTTAGCAGATCAAAGTCCTTTGGAATTGAATTTGGTAAATCGATAGTCTCAGGAATTGTTCCAGTTAAATCGACTAAAGCGTCAGAAGCGCTACCAGATTCCAACGCCTCATAACATTTACATAACTTTGCATAGGCTTTCTCAAGTAATGGTACCCACATTTCATTATGATCTTTTGAACGAGCATAAATTAATCTACCTTCTCTCGTAGGTAAATAATCATCAACTACAACTTCGATCCATTCCCCAAATCTATAAAATCTAAACCTGAATACACCAGGGTGACGTTCTGTGTCTCTAAAATGGTATACACCCATTTTTTTACCAGGTTCATTACTATGACACCAATCTTGATCCGTCCCTCTTGGTATAACTTTAAGCAATAATTTTGGATGCGTTGCCAAAACTCCTAAAGCACTAACCAACCAACAATTTCCAACCGCTCCTTGTATTACATCTGTATTAATCTTTCCAGTTTTTCCTTCATTATTGGTGTAAATAAATAAATGTGGATTATCAGTTATATCTTTACATCTCTTCCATTCAACCATATCTCCATGATGATTGGAAGGTTTATAGTATAGTGAACTATCATTTGTTGGAAAATGTTCATCTTGAAAATTTTTTCCTGTTCTTGCACACTCTAAAAAGATCTTTTTATAATTCTGCCCAAATAATTTACGATACCTTGGAGACATCCTATAAAAAAAAAAAGAGAGAGAGGAGGGTGAAGGGGGATTTTATTAATTTTTTAAAAAAAGGGATGTAAGATGACCATATATATTTATTAAATTAATTTGATGTGACACGTTAAAATTATTCACTAATATGTCATTCCGTAATACGTGCGTAAATCATTTTTTTTTATTTTTTTATTGCGTAATTAATTTAACCATATTCGCTTTCAAAGTGTTATGTATAAGTGACAGAAATGGTGAGACATGTAATACATATAGCATGTTGTATGATGATATATTTTCTAGAAAAAAGCCGCTTTAGTCAAGATGCAACCTTAATTTGCTCACTTGCGTTTATTGTAGTGAATATCAAAAAAATGTAAATCAAAATTCCAATTTACCTCATTTTTGGTTTTCACTTGCATTTCTCTCCCACTTATTAAGGAACATTAAAAAC